AACCATACTGGGAGGATATGGTTGGGGTCATCACCGATGATGACTTGGATTTACAGGATTAATGCAAAGTTCTCCAAATTACTGGATGCATTTTGTACAAAAAGATGCACACGTGACATAACAGTTGCTGCACCTTTAAAGCAACAGCTGTTGAAAAAACAAATATGTCTTTGAGAGGCAAATCTGATGAATATCTCCTGCTCCTATAATGACCTCAACACAGTGTGCACAATTTCCTGACACAATCAGTCTGACAAGTTAAACTGCACTTCAGACAGCACTGACAGCCTGACGGTGTTTCCCCCACTGGAGGCTAGAAGTCAAAACAGTTCATAAATAAGCTGGCCTGGATCTCCACACGACAAACATCCATAAAAGAGTCTGTCTGATGTAATCTTCTTTAAATCCAGTCCTTTAAATCTATCCCAGACTGCAGAACACCAACAGTGTTTCACATCAGTTACCCCCGAAAACAAAGAAACCTCTCGGTTTTGAAGACGCCAAGATATTACATAGCAAATTTATTTAAACTTGACTTAAAAGCCTGAAACAGTTGTATTGTAACCTGCTGTACAGCTGCCAACACATAACCTCACCTGCCTGAAAGTTGCTCTCAATATAGATACAAAATGACTCATTATTAGCTAATAATGACAATCCGCAGCATCTTTCTCACCTTCAGCACTTTTTACAGCCTTGAGTAACTGCAGAGATTCTGTATTTCACTGTGAATACTATCAAAACATGGGTGGCCACAGAGAAGTGCTGTGCTACTTTTAATACTAACAGAGTTAAGAGATCACTTCACTGAGCCAGTGGGACAAATGTGAAAACAATATATGTGCGCTGGTTTAATACAATGAACAAAGGTCCTACTGTCAGTATTTATCTTCAACAGTTCAGACCACATTGACTTTACAAAGATTATCCATCTGATTTGGATAGACACACACACACACACACACACACACACACACACACACACACACACACACACACACACACACACACAGAGAGAGAGAGAGAGTTTCTGACAAGGCACCAGTGTCTTGAATCATTATCTCAAGTATTTTTCCATCTGTTGTTTGCCAAATTCTTCAGACTGGGCCACACAATCCAGATGTGGTCTGGCCTCAGATATCAGACTTCTGCTCTTTGCTGCTGATTCACTGACAGACCAGGCGCTTTCTGGCAGATTGCGGTCATAGGTACAGAAAATGCACCTGGGTATATAAAAACCACGTTTAGTCTATAATCCACAAACAAAGAGAACATCAGTTTGATTTTACAGCAGAAAACTGCTCGTCTGCACAGCAAAATACTATAATATACAGTCATGTGAGAAAATGAGGACACCCTTTGAAAGCCTGTATACTTAAAATATATTTGGAGATGTGGATATTTAATATCAATTTTAATGATACTGAGGGATCCAAATAATATAACTAAACAATTAAAAAATAAGAAAAGCCTTTCTAAAACCTTATGTGAAATGTAATTTTAAAAGAATGCAATTTCTGGTGAGGAATAAATTAGGACACCCCCACTTATTATCCCACTTAAAATGGTTAAAATCACACACACAGGTGTATCTTGTCAGGTGCACATGATCAGTACATCATTAACCAGGATTTTAAAGAAGCCTTGCCCTATTTAGTTTGGTGTGCTCCTGACTGTTGAAGTGTTGAAGTGAACGCCATGGTGAGATATAAAGAGCTGTCTGATGCCCTCAGAAAGAAGACTGTGGCTGCTTATGAGTCTGGTAAGGGATTTAAAAAGATCTCAAAAGAATTCGACATCAGCCATTCCACCACCATCAATTGTTTACAAGTGGAGGACATTCGAAACAACTGCCACCATGCTCAGGTCTGGTCGTCCAAGCAAATTCTCCCCAAGAGCAGATCACAAGATGCTCAAAGAAGTCATCCAAAATCCTAAAATGTCATCATGGGAACTACAGCAGGCTCTGGCTACTGTCGATGTGAAAGTGCATCACCCTACTATCAGAAAAACACAAGTTTGACTTTCATGGGAGGTGTGCAAGGAGGAAACCTTGGCTCTCTAAGAGAAACATTAAGGCCAGACTTAAGTTTGCCAGAGCGAACGTAGACAAAGACCATGACTTCTGGAATAATGTTCTTTGGACAGATGAGTCTAAAATTGAATTATTTGAATACCAGAACAGTAGACAGCCATAGTCCTGGAATGGCCAAGTCAAAGCCCTGATCTTAATCCTATTGAGATGCTGTGGGGTGACTTGAAACGGGCTGTACATACAAGAAAACCCTCAAACATCACACAGCTGAGAGAATTCTGTGTTGAGGAGTGGGGCAAACTTTCTTCTGATTGATGTCAGAGACTGGTAAAAGGCTACAAAAGGCGTCTCACTGAAGTTATATCAGCCAAAGGGGGCAACACTAGTTATTAGGGGGTAGGGTCTCCTAACCTTTTCCTCCATTAAAATGCACCACTTTGGTGCACGCAACAATAATCTAGTTCACTCAGAGCACAGCAGGAGATTCAATGGAATTAAAAAAGAAATGAAGAAATAGAAATAAATAGTATTTGTGGGAATGTACTTATCCAGCACAAAACACATTTACCGTTGGATTTATGAAATGTGTGCACCAGCCTATTTGTTCTTACCAACTTGTGTATAAACGAATATCTGCATACCCGTTTCCTTCAAGATGAAGTAGAGAAAGTGGTGGAATTGGTTTAAATCACAAGGTTAAAAACTACCTTGTGACTACATTTACAATTTTGTTTTGCTTACATGCAATTATATTTTTTATTTATTTGATTGCAATTCTGTACATATGGTGGCTTATGGTGTTTAGGAAAACAATCAATAATCTAAGAAATAATAAGATATAATAATAAAAATATTTAATATTACTATTAGTAGTACTTTTAAAAAAAAATTATATTGATTGAATATTGTATATTGTACTCATTTTAAAGACTTGTGTTTGAAATTTCCTAACAGAGCCAGGCCATCATTTGTGGTAAATGGCAATCGGACTGGTTCTATAACACTTTTCTACTCTTTTTCTACTTTACTGTGTACTTACAGCACTTTATATACCACGTCTCATTCACCCACACAACATTCACACTCTGATGAATGCATGGGAAGCAATTCTGAGTTCTGTATCTTGCTTAAGGGCACTTTGGTATTTGCAGACTGAAACAGTGAGATATTTGAACCACAACCACCTGCCTGGCCACAAAAACCCTCTAAATTTGTTTGAGTGTTAGAGTACGAACAAATTCAGGCATGAACATACTAATAAATCCTGATATGTTCATGCGCTTGATTTACACACAAATATGTGCGTAGGCACTGTTAATAACTTGTCATTTACTTACTAGCTATAGTTTTTAAAGAAACATGCACTTCTCTTGTTAAACACACAAGCAAAACCAAAAGTTTCACTAGACCATGGTGTCAAACCTTTTCCACAGTCCATATTAGCTTCTCTTCACTGGCCTACTGTTAAATCCTGAACTTAAATTCTGCATGATCAAGCCCTGTCATATATTAACAGTATTAGATTATTCCAAAAAAGCACTTAGCTTCAGACTACAGGTTTACTTGTGGTTCCTAGAGTTTCTAAAAGTAGACTAGGAGGCAGAGCTTTCAGGTATCTGGTCCATTTCCTGTGGAACCAGCTCCCAGTTTGGATTTGAGAGAGACACCATGTATACTTTTAAGATTAGGTTAAAACTTTCTTTTATGATAAAGCTTACAGTAAGGGTTAGACCAGATAACCCAAGACCATCTCTTAGTTATGTTGCAATAGATTTTGGTTGCTGGGTGCTTCCAATGATGCACTGAGTATTTCTTCTTCACTCAACAATTTTCTTTCCATGTGTTTAATCATCACTGTTGCATTTAGAGGTTTAAACCAGCATTAGTAATGATTAAACTCTGACTCTCTCCCTCAGCTCTCTTTTCTTTCCCCTCATGGCAGATGGATGGCCCTCCCTGAGCCCGGTTCTGCTGGACATTTCTTCCTGTTAAAAGGTTTCTCCTTTACCATCAGAGAAGCACTTGGTGACAGTGGGATTCTTAGGGTGTTCCCTCTAATATTGTTGGGTCTTTACCCTACAATATAAACCTGAACTTCTCAGCTGGTAGAAGACAATAAGGGTGGAACATTACTTAAAGACAAGAAGAAACCTTATTAAAGGTTAAATGGGGATTCTAGACAGAAATATAATTTGCAACCCAGTGGGTTTGATAGCAATTAACATTTTTTTCTTGCTGTGTAAAAAGCACCTGCTGGGGAAAAACAGTGACTAAAGCTCCAAGCATCACTGAGTAAACCTATAATAAGACCAGATTCAGCTCAGATACATTGGACAGTCACAGCAGGAAAAGAGTGGGTGTAATTAATATTATAGATGGCTCTGCTCCATTTACAGGTGTTTGTGCCAGTATGCAACACACCTAGAAGGAATCCAGCCTTTATAAATGTAATGAGTAACACCTGTGCTGTTTGTCTTTGGAAAGGCTTGCCATTTGTGAGACCAAGAATGAGTAAGTGTGAGTGAGAAGGTTCGGCCTGAAGAGAGATGTTTGCTGTGTGACAATTTCATCTACTTTAATAAGCACTTCAGTTAAATTATACAGGCAGCTTCATTCTGACAGGGATAACAACCAATATTAAACATGTGGAGCTGGAACAGACAGACAGACAGAGTGTAAATAAATGAGAAACTGACCACAGTAATTGGCCAAAGGTATGCAAGTTAAGGAACATGTGTATTTGTCTATTTAGACCTAATTTTTCATCCATTACATTACTTTTTCTGTCACTTTCTATGTGACCAACCAGGTGGAACACTATAAATGTCTTTAAGAAATGTCTGTCCAAAAACATGCCACTTACTCAATATTTAAATGATTCTTCATGTTTTGCTCTTCCTGAAGTGAACAGCTCTGCCTTTGAGTACAGTTCTTTAGAACACAGGTTAACTGTTAATTCATTCAC